GAAGATTAAAATGTGTGAAAAGGTTGTAAGAAAAATCTGCAAACTAAGTGGAAAAAAAAAACCAAACCCTAAATATGTTTTAGTTTCTACCTATCTAATCTCCATTTGCTTAATGTTTGTTCTCTCTTCTTATCCCCTCTCACTTCAGTCTAACGTACTAGCAAAGGGGGCAAGCTGAGCTGAAGCCTAGGGATTGCCCATTGCATTGCTACACCTTTCCTCTGAAGAACGAAAGTTGTCCTGAGGTTTATGCAGTTAATCTCCTGGGCCTATGCATCAGTCTGCTCTCTAAAGTAAAAGTTGGGTGAACTTGCAAAGATTTCAGGAGCAGGATCACTGGGTCTGTTAGGGTCAGCAAAAATAATCTGAGCCAAAAATGAAGTCCAGTTCAGTTGCATTACACTCTTGATCTTGGCTACACTTGCTTCCTTGGGCTGTATCTAGTTTCCTTGCGTCCTGTCTCCTTGTGAGAGGTGAATGGCAGGCGCGGTTTGGATAGTGTTGCCAGATCTAATTCCAGATTATCTGAGCAATTTTGTATGTTATAGAAACGTGGGCCAGAGGAACTAAAGGAATGGTAGCATTCCATGTGCCAATGGCAATCGTTTAGTTGTTAAAAGTGGATGTATCTGTACTCTTGTCTCTGTGCCTACTTGAGGAACAAGAAGGCTGCCCAAACTACTGTAGGGCTGCCTATCAGCAAGTAGTAGGTGTCTGAAAATATCTTTTTCACAGAATACTTAAAAATAACAATTGCTGTTCATTTATTTATTTATTTTTCAGTTATTGGAATGTATTCGCTACGTTTATCCAAAGATGATTGCTACTGGGCTTTGAATCAACATAAAACTACAAACCGTTTTATTTTGCTGAAAATGGCATTTTCTTAAGTTTCTACACCTGTTAAAATTAAGGTAGCTTAATTAGCCTTTTGACACTAGATTTTACTCTAGGATTGCTCAGTTTGCATGGATGTGTGGGGGGTTATTTGGATTATTTGCAACAGTAAGACGTGAGGTTTTTGAGTCTATTCCATTTTTAATTTTTATATAAGCCCCTCAAAAACCCATAGCAGCGAACTCCCATCTCATGTTTTCCACTCAGAATATTCCTAGCATTGTATATTCTCCATTATAAGCTGTTTATTGTGAGATCAGGCACAATCTTTACTCTTCGCAAGGTACATAATTAGCATATCAGAATGCTAACACTGTAAAACATTGCACAGTGATAGAAAGAGCAGTAGGAAAATTTATATAGATTTTCACTTAATATGCCTCACTAGAGGTCTTGGCAGCTTCTGTTAGCCTTTCATAGCAACAGCAGTGAGAGAGCATTTGGCTCTAGCAGTGATATGATCTCACTACGTAGGACGGAAATATGGAGTGAAGAGACAAAACACCCTGTACTAATTTTAGGTTCCATTTCAATCTTACATGTCTTTAAATTCATCTTCGCAGTGTCCTAGATTGGGTTGAATCTCTTCAATACTATCTCATTTGAACAGATCCCCTGTGAACAGCACAGCTTCTTGGTGCTTCTTTGTTTCCTGTTTGGTAGTGGAACGCTTTTATATTTACTTCGGTACTTTCCTCTTGCTGTCTTTTTGCATCAGTATCAGCCAGAGCAGAGTATTGCCTAGACCTTGCATGTTCAAGCTGCCAATGTCTAGATGGTTTGCATGGGTCCCTCTCTAGTGTTTTAATCCTTTTTTTTTTTTTTTTTTGTTATTTTAAATTAGGAATTCACAAATTGTACACTCTTAAAATGCTATTGATTTAAATTAATAATTCAGTCATATCCTTTTTTATCTCAAGTCACTTCCAGATGATCCACATGAAGCATTTTTTCTGTAGCATATTTTGTTTTAGTAGTGGGTTGAAATTCTGGGTCACCTTTTTACCAGAGCCGTACCCAAAGCTGATCTAGCACCTCTGTGCTGCCCTGGTAGCTCCAAGCTGACTGATTTCCCTAGCTGGTGACTCTGGGGACTCTGCAGCTGATGCTTGCTCTGCATAGCTGTCTTTCCCCATGAACAGTAAGCTGCAGCTGCTCATAGAGCAGCCTGACAGGACCAGCTACCAAACCTAAAACTAGGGTAGCTTTGTGGCTGCTCGGATGCTCACCCAAGACTTGTGCTTCTCATAGTCTGTCTGAAGCCTAAATATATTAGAAGCCCTGCTTTAAAAAAAAAGGAAGCCGTGTGTGTAGCTTTGTGTGTGTGCGAATAGGGACAACCATAAATTTTTCACTGCAGCAATCCACAGGTGGTTTGGATTACTTGTGTATAATCTGAGCTGTTAGAGTTATACAAGAAATATCTCCCTCTCATTCTCTACAGCATAAGCCAAACATAAAAGGTAGATTTTCAGAAAGACTTGGGATGTTAGGCACATAAATCCCATCGAATTTTAAGGGAATTTAGGGTATTATTTGGTCTCTCTTGAAAAATTAATTCTAAGTCTGTGCAGGATTAGAGGAAACTCCCACTGTGAACAAAATTTTTCTCAATAATGCACACCTTTTCCTGAAACTCCTAGCCACTGTTACAGTGTTCAAAATATCACTTCATGCCTGAGGAGTCTGGCAGGAATCTTTTAAAGTTCCCCTCACTTCAGTAGGCTGCACACTGGTCTAATTTACAACAGCAATTCCTAATGCCCCATGAAACTGGACTTGCCTTTCATTTAATAGAATGAGAATTTATATAACTGTATTAACATTTCCTTGAGGCAAAGAATATATTAGATAAAGGCTACAGCAGTGGGTTTGCCCCTGTTTTTAAAAACCATAAATCGGCTGTTGTCTGGTATTGTTTTAATTGATATGCTATAAAATGCATGGTTTTCTTAAAAAGTTAACATCTTCCCTGTTTGTGACATCATTTCAGACTTTCAAAATCCTGGGAGTTACAATAGTGATCTTAAGCAATATTGCCAATATTTCTTCATCCTGGGGCTCTGTTACCCCACTCAAAGAGCTATCAGATGTTGTGCCCTGCAAAGCCTGCCTTTGGGCCTCTGAGGCTGTGGATGGTCTCCTGTGCTGTTTCCTTGGGAGATAGGGCAGTTTGCAGGTAGAGTTACGTGCTGTAAAAGTCAGTTGCCAGCTATCTTTCGGCTGCAGGAACCTGTTCCAGATATTTCTTTGGTTTTCTTTGGCTGTCAGCTGCCTGCTCTCAGCCTGCAGCTCTGTCTTCATTCCCTTCAGCGCTGGGCTTGCTGCGTTCCCGTCTCTGAGAGGAAGAATCTCCTGGTGCTATTTGGCTTCCAAACTATTTACACTGAAACATCCTTGTAGAAATGGAAAGAAGCAAAGGTCACGTTAACAGCCCCGTGTTAAAGGTCAGCAATACCATGGTAACATTAGAAATCCATCCAGCTGCCTGCAGACAAGTTGAACCCCTTCTGAATAGGAAATAACCCAAATAAACAGGGAGGTAGATAAAAAGCAGCATCTTAGCCCTGAGCCACGTGTCAAGTGGAAACCTAACTTTCGAGAGCTTGTGGGGTATTTCCTATGTCTAACTTTGAACTCTGTTGCTCAAAATACAAAACCGTAGCAAATAGTCAGAGAAATAACTGCCTTGTAAATGCTCTGCCTCTCAACCTGAGGCTTTTTTTTTTTTTTTTTTTTTTTTTTTTTTTTTTTTTACTGCAAGCATGTAGTGCAGCCAAGTGTTGTTTAGTATCCTTCCTGTGCCTTAAAGTGTGATTTTTATGGGTGACGTTATGTTTATGGGTCTTTGTTCATCTTCAGCCTCATGTACCCCACTGCTGCTTCCTCTGAGGCTTTGCCGCCACACCGCAGGGTGTTAATTTCCTGTTTTGAGTCTGTCACAGACAAATTCAGGGCCTCGATTAAAACACAACACACACAGATACATGCTGCTGACAAAGGCACTAATAAAACTCTAAAGTTTAAAGGTGGCCCTGGTGTTTCCTCACTGAGCAGCATGGGGACCTTTCACCTCTCGGAGACACGCTGTTTGCAAAGGTTTCTTTTCTTTTTAATTAGGGCTTGCCTGAATGAGTTTTTTTGCAAGCTGCTCTAGCATTTGGTGTGTTGGGTTTACGGATGTATTGACTATGTAACATGCACACAGCTCGCTTGAGCTTTGGGAAAAAGAATACAAGTCAGCCTCATGAAAGTTACAGGAACTGAAAGGAAGAAAAAAGCTTAAACAGAAAATGTGTTGGTTATAGTGATGGGCCTAGTATGTATGGTCTCTGCAAGGCATGCACATGGGCATCTGTATTGCCTGACCTTCTCTCTTCATTGAGCAGACAGGGATATCTGTGGGGGTTTTAAGCCAGCTTTTCCTTGCTTTTGTAAAAATCCATCCTTCTGTGCTTACATCTAGCAGTGGAAGACTTGCAAAAACCATCCCTAGGCACAAATTTGTACAGCTCTTTTTTCCCCTTGTTCATGTAGTGCAATTTTAAGTGTCTTAGCTCGCTTATTTTGAGACTAGCCTGTATGGTCACAGATCAAACAAGCAAAAAAGAGTTTCCTGTTATTACGTATGTTTTTTTTTCTCCTTTTCAATTTGTTGTAGTGTTTCTTGTGCTTGTAAAAGCCTTTGCTCCTTTAATGTATGCATGTTTGCAAGTGTTGCATTTCTTCTTCACTTGCATTTCTTCTAATGGAGGCCTTCCTATTCTCGTGCAGTGTTGGGATCTTTTTTCTTTCTTTCCAGTAAATTTCTCTTCCTTTTTTTTTTTTTTTTTTTTTTTGTCCTAAAGAATGTTAATGCTAACGATGTTTTCAAACCTGACATTTCTTAACTAGTCATTCTGATCAGTTACTACTAGTTTGCATGTCTGCTAGAGCAACTCAGAAAGGCAAATACCTCCCCATAGTAACCTCATAATCAAGAGGGAAACTCGAGTTTCTGATCTTTCTGAAGAGGGGTCTCTTGCAGTATAGCTAATTAAAATTTAACTATAACTGGGCTAATTATATCTGGAGAGCAAACTTTGCAGCCTGATTTCTTGCAGTTGCAGTTGTGCTCCTCTCCTCCGTAACAAAGGAAATACCAGCCATGTGTTCTTCAGAGCTGTCAGGTACGAGAGGTCATTGAAGTCCTGTGTGGATGTGAGAATCACTGTAGGCCTGATGCATGGAGAGTTCACACACTGCAGGTACTGCATGTCACCTTGTGCACGTTGCTTTCTGGGGTGGAGGAAGCTGGTCTCAAACTGCACATTTCCTCTGCCTTCCTGCTGCAATGTTTCTGCAACTTGGGTACATAGCCTTACACTGTGCCTGGTGGTCTCCTGGACACACTCTGTAAATACTTTATCACAGTGGAAGGAAGAAATTACAGCTTACAGCTGCAATTTTCTAATTCCTCTTATCTGCCCAGTCAGTTTATAGTACATAGCTGGGGGGGCAGGAAAGGTGGTCTGAGTCACACCCTCAGTAGTGGGATGAGCGATGTGTGGTACCTTTAAAGACAGTCACCTTGCCAGACTCTGTGGAACAAGGCTAAATGCATTATTTAAGCAAACTGTTGGAGGCTGTAGGTTTTTATGTGGGTTGGAATGAATCTTAATCTAATCTTTGAGCTACTCGATGTTCTCCTTCATTTACTTTTTGACCACCTGTGTTTTTTCTCCAAGTCATTGCCTCTTCATCTCTGCTCAGTTTGCTTTTCTCTTTAGCATTGTCATCTCTTCCTCCCCATTTAACTTATCTTATTCCATCTAGATAGTCACCAAGGAGGAGAAAAACCACAAAGCACAAAAAAAACTCTTACAAAAGTTGAATATGCCAGTGTTCCTAGGTATTGATGGATTTTTGGTGCCCCAAATGTGATTATTCAGAGTTAAAAGTTGATATATTTGTTAGTACAGACTATGTTCCACATAAAGGGAAGCAAAAAAGGGAGCTAGGAACGCTGTACTACTTCTCCAAGGCTCAGGGCTTAGCTGCTGAAACAAACTAAGAATTCCAGTTCTGAAAATCAACTTCCAGCTTAGAAAACCTTGGCTCACAAGTAAGTCTAAGTGCAGAAAGACCTTTGGTGCTGCTAGCTCTTCACAAAACACCACAAAAGGTGGCATAATCTGATATGTAGGCATTTCCCCTGTGTAGAGAGAATCTCAGATGAAGTGTGGTGTGACAGCTCTGTGCTCCACAAGCTGTAACTGGAAGGGTGGGGGATGAAATGCTACTACAAACCTCAGGGCTAAGTTAGAGCATTCATAAGGCATCCCTAACTCTCCCTGAGGGTGGGTTCAGTGCATTTTAAAACTCTCTTGTCTTTACTTTACAGGAGCCCATTTCTGCTTTCAGAATGTGTCATTGTTGCTTGCTATGGCTGAGTTGACCTAAGGATTGGTAGGAGAATTAAGCTGTAAGTCTTCTGAGGCAGCAATTCTTTGTTTGACTCTGCACTATATAAACATCAATATGGGTGGTAGCTCATAAATGAGACCTAGGCACGCCTGCTATATGTATGATACAAGTGTTAGATGAATGTTCTGCATTGTTCAGTCTTTTCTATTCTGAAATTGTACATTCTTCATTGGTCATGCCTTCAAGGCTTCATCTATGGGGTATAGTACTTTCGTAGTGATAAGCTTTTTTTTTTTTAATTATTTTAAAGCTGGATGTTAACATAGCAATAGCAGTCACTATATAGGTGGGATGAGCTGTGGGATGAGAAATGTGAATCATGTTTTAAATGAGTTAAGTGTGATGCATTCCATATGCAGAATTGTATATGTTTCTCTGCATTATGAGTAAGACACAGATCTCATGCAAGTCATGGGTTCTGTGTATTTAGCAAAACATCTGTGACTTCTGACCTTCCCAGGCTTGTGTGCATATGAGTGAGTGCACTGGTGTGATCACAAATTGTGGAACAAACTTCACTGAGAATAACAGAATAAATCTTGGAATGCATGAGGAAGGTGGGGGCCAGTGGCAATGTGGGGTGACACAAAAGACCAGACCAATTTCCCAAGGCATTGAGTTTTTCAGCTAGTCCAACTGAAATCTAGGCATAGTCAGGGTTTCTCAATTTTCCGAGTTATGCAGCTGATGTTAAAGTTATCCATGTGCAAGAACAATATGAAAGCAATGCATTGAGACAGTTCCAAGCAGCTTTATATTAAAATCATACCTAGCAGAAGCCATCTGCAATGCACTCACTATTGACTAACCTGTGAAACAGACCTGTGAGTGTTTGCTGCCTGTGTGAGAGACACAGAATGAAGCAGCATTGTTGAAGTCCTCTAATTTTGCTCCCAATAGTGAGGCATTAACAAATTCCGTAAGTGCCAAAGGTGTTTCTTTATTCTGAACTAAGTTTAACTGCTCTTTGCACTTGGATCCTTGCCTTGCTTGTCTCCTAGATACTCAGAGCTGCACTTTTCCTCTTGCTGTCCAAGACTGCACATTCTTTCTCTTACAGTCCTTTCCCTGTCTTTCTTTTTTCTTTTTCTTTTTTTTTTTTTTTTTTTTCTTTCTAGGTTAAAGCTCTTTAATTTTGTCCTCTTCTGTTTCTGCTCTCCTCTCACTTATTTGTAACCCAGCCCAGCCACCTCTTTTACAGCTTGTCTTTATGCTTCTATTTGTAGCACTTTACCTATTTCAGTGTGTGGTGGTCATGCTTTCCTACTAAATTCTTTCCTGATGTTGTCCTTTTTTGTTTTGCCCAGGAGCCTCCAGTATGGGTCTGTTGAAGGGAAATTGCTACCACTCCCCGGTGTGAAGCAAAACAAAACCCCCACAAAATCTGAACAAAAAAACTAAACAGAATAGCTCCCTCATATCACCTCTGCAGAGAGCTCTGCACCAAACTCCCCAGAAAAGGGAAGTGTCTGCTATGGTGTTTAGACAAAAACATTGATTACTAAATGTTTCAGATCTGATCGCAGCTCTGCCACAATTACATCAGGAAAGGCACAGTCTTAAGTTGCTGTGATTGCAACAGGTTAGTTGATAGATTGTGAGACTTCTGTCATTCTGAGGTGAATGACTAGTAATAAGTCTTAAAACTTGGCTAATGTGTAGCACAGCTGCCAGGGTTGCTCTGCCTGTATACTACAAGAATACTACTGGGGTTGCCTTATGCTCTTTCTATCCATTTGTAGCTTGCAAGCTGAATTTTACAAAACATTGTTTTGTAGCAGTCTAAATAGTACTGCAAGGTGCCAGAAAAGGAGATTTGGTGCCAGGAAAATCACTGAATTTACAGATCAAATCCACTGAGCTCTAGTTTTTCATGGGTTGTCTCCTTGATCACAAGCGCACTGAAGAAGGGTTACAACTGCTTTTCTAGAAGCTAGAGGAAAAGAGACCCTAAAATGATTTGATTTTTTTTTTTTTTTTTAAGAAAATTTCATAGTCCCTATTGTAATCTGGTATGATGCGAAAAAGGTTGCAACCCCCCCAAATTCACATGTTATGGCCCCCAGACTGGAGACAGCTGTAGAGCTGTTAAAGGATACTTGATAAAGCCCAGTCAAAATGTTGCCAATATTGCTATGGCAGGAGTCACTAGATGGCAACATTACCTGTACTCTTACAAATACATGTGTGTGAGCATTGTTCAGCCTTTTGAAGAAATGTCTTGTTTTGTGGATCTCTTATGCAGGAGCATGGGAAGCAGTCAGGGTGAGGCTGTTTCTCCTTCCAAATACTATCTGAATGGGAAGATTTCTTGAATGTTGTTAGCTGTGTGTTATTCTGGCTGCGAACAGGATGTCAAATAAGTATCTCTAATGGTATATCCACCAATTTGTTTGTTACTGTGCCGGAAGTAAATGGTGATTTGAGAGAGTGCATGTGTCCTACTCAGCTGTGCCTGCTGTCTGTAGGGATGCTGTAGTGGGGAGGGGATGGGAGGGAGCAGTCCACTGGAGGTGTTTCAGTAGTATGCACCTAGATCTGCCAGCAAACGTGAATTAAGACCCCTTTTAATGCTTTGCCTGGAAGCCATACAGCAAGGGCTTTACATCTGCTACCACTCAGAGAAGCTGAGTGTCCCCCTTCATTTTGGACTCTGCGGGTTTTGCACGTGGCTCCAATTTCATGTGAAGTTGTTTTTAGGTATGCAGCATACAGTTTGTGGTAATCTCACAAAAGAAATTTGTTAACGGATTCTTCAGGATTTTAATACTTCTGTGAGAAGTATGCTGAAGAGTAATGCTTGAGACCTATTTGTTAATAGCTGATTGAGAAATTGGCTAGGTAGGTAGTATGATTAATAAACAAGAGTGCTGGACTTGGCTCATTTTGACTCCATTTTCCTCCAGCAATAGCTTAACAATGTTTTAAAAATTCATATTTTAATTGACAAAACTATGGCAGATTCATGCAGGGTTATCTGGAAATCACAGAACTGTTCAAGTATGCAAAGAAGTGTTGCCTTCTTTGCCTTTCTCTGCTGCAGATGTTGTTTCTATTCCTAACCAGTGCTTTGACTGAAACCTCATAGAAAAAATCTTAGGGGGACCCCAATTCAGAAAAGTCTTGATGCAGTTAATTATTTCCTCTTAATTTACACTTGAATGCAAAATAACAACTAACAGATTCCTAAGAGTAAATGCAAAATGAACCAAAACTTCCCCTAACGAACTGTTATTAAAATAATACATCTGGGGGATTTTTTTTTTTTAAAGTGAAAACTTTAACAAATAAAAGGAAATATTTGGAATAGATGAGTAGTTTTCCTTCTATCCATTCTGTTGAATGCTTCCCACTGCAATGAGAACGCTTGTAATTCTTGTTCTTGCAGCTACGTATTCTGCCAGGCTCCCATGTGGGACAGTTTTTCTCTCAGCTCAATATGCAGAGTAAGTGTATGAGAGCTGGATTTTCTCTCACCTACTTCATGAACTTCATGATTTTTTGTGAACTGATTCTTCCAGGAGAAAATTCAAAAGCCTACTATAAATAACATACATTTGAAGTGGGAAATATTGTTAGGCACAGCTTCATCTTCTACGTAAACAATAGAAATGCAGTGTTTTTTTTTTCCCCACCTCAGAGGAAAACAAATGCACAACCCCTTTGGAGGTCATTGCAGTTCATCCTCTTATCCTGAAACAAAAGAAACTGCTGTACAATGTGAGCTATAGAGTAATATAGATTGCATAGAGTAATATAGAAGGCACAGCTGTGCTTCTCTCCCCTTCCAGTCCCATAACCTTCTGTTTCGGTTTGGTGTTCACTTCTTCAGGCTCCACGCACAGACATTTAGGAACAGCAATTGGCAGGATTCAAAAACATTTGCTGCTGGAAAAGATGCATCAAAGCAGAGCAACAAATGATGGAGATGCTATGTATCAGTTAGCATGCTTTGTATAACAAGTGGTAGCGAAGGGCAAAAACTGCCTGATTTAATTTTTTGGGGTAACTTTGCTCAAAAATAACAGCTGATATTTAATCTTAAAAATTATACTCATTAACAACAACACTAATGTGGGTGACTTGCTCTGTACTTTGTGAGGTCTGACTGTTGCTGCTGAATGCTTGTGCTAGGGACAGCTGGGACAGCTTGCTTTGCAGAGCACCAGGATTTTTCTTGACTCTTATTTGCACTTGGCGAGGGCCCCTGGTGAGCACTGGTGCTGCTGCTCCTCATATTGAGTGAGGAAATTGAAATGTACTCGAATTAGAAACAGATGACTGGAATTTAGAGATGAGTTAAAACTGCTCTAAGCAAAGGGCAAGAGTGATATAATTAGTCTGGCTCGCAACTTGTTTGCTTATGGTACGTATTAGAGCACATTTTTATAGCTTTTAAAAGTAACAAAAGAAAACTGAAGTGGGTGTATATACAAACATAACTCTCAGATTTGAGCTTTACAGTTAACTTTTAGATCTAAAATGCTATAGCCTGATTCTCTGCTAGTCCAGGTCTTGCACAGGAATGGTTTCTCTGGAACCAGTAAGATGGTTTTGAACTAAGATGGGCATTAAGGGACCGCAGTGAAATTGCTTCTTCTCTGCCTGCTGAAAAAATGGCTAGCCCTTATGCTTTAATAATGAGAAAAGTGAAGTAAGAAAAGTAACAATCTCTTTCCTTAATTTTGAAATTGAAAAGATATAATTGATATATCCTGAAAGGATATAATGGATATAGCCATTTTAAAAGCTTGAGTTTGATGATGGACTTTTGCTCCTGCGGTGACCTCTTAGCTTTGTCACCAGTGCCCTTAAGGAATATTAAAATGAAAAATTCCTGAAGAAGAAAGTGGTCCCCAGTGTTTTTGGATGGATGCTTTGTCTGTTGCTCACTGTGCTCTGGGAACATGGTGCTGCTGACCTCCACCATGCTGAAGTGCTGGTAGACGCAACACTGAATGATTCATAGAGCCTTGGTTTTCAGAAGGCATTTAGCAA